AGTCGGGCTCGGGAGCTCGTGAAAACGGGGATGCCGAATATAGCAGGTGTGGTCCGAGCTCCCCGAACCTCGTATTTTCTCAGAGCCATCAGCCCGTAACAAACATTGAATTCCACTCTAGAGGATTTCCGATACAACCCCTAATTTCCATAGTCATGCGACTTTTTTTCCATGAATAGTTCAATAAGAGGTCGTATGTTATTGTTGGGTAATATAATGATTCAGTCGTTCAGGTATAATGGAATTGGTGGTGACGGAGGTGATGTTTATATGGTCGGACGGCCAAATTTCAATTTTCGTCAAATGCGTAAAGAGCTCGGTGGAAACAAGAGAATTCAAGCTGGAAATGGCGAAAATGCATTGTATACAAAACTGGTTGCGAAAAGAGGTGAAGATGCGGTCAGTTTTGTGTGTACCGCACTGCGGTTGGATTTCTATCTACTTATCGTTTTATTCACTCAACATAAGCAACCGTTTGGAAGTGCCTTAGTTCTGCTTGGATTTATTTCCCATTCTGTTTAGCGGAGTAATGTACCACATCTAGATATGATATTATTCATCTGTTCAATAAATCAGCAATTAAAATGTCGCCAAAGTCGTAAAAAGTGCACCATTATTATTATCGAGTATGAAATTCTCAGTGCCGTCACACAGTCACTGCAGCACATCCAATAGACTCAGTGCTTATTGCTAGGACGTAAGATGTCTTTTTGAGTCTCAAGATTTGTAAATCATTCCGGTGCTCAAACAAACTGAAATATTGAATCAAAACTCACACTGAAATTCTTCTTTTTGGGAAAAAAATCAAAAGGTATCATATGATAACAATAAACAATTAAATGCTCAAAATTTAAGGAGATCCACGTTCCGGTTGGTATCGAAGCAATTGATCCAGAGACAAACATCTTAATTGCTCGATGCAAACGTGCATTTCATCGATATCTGATTGCACGAGGTGGTCAAGGTGGATGTGCCGACAATCATTACCAGTGAGTTTTCTTTTCCGACTTCATTCTCAAATGATTTGTTCGTTTTCATTTGAGACGTTTTTTATGTTTGATTGAAGGTTTGCTTGTGAATGTGCTGTTGGCACTACCATGTTTATCGCCACTTGTTTCGTTGTCTTATTCGGCAGCGTTTCAAAGATGCAGTTCAAACAATCAAAATTCCGATGTTGTGACGTAGTATGAACTGATGGCTCTATCGCGCCACAGAATCAAATGCTGTTAAACGGGGAGAGTGTACTGAAAAGACGGAAGGGGACTTGATGCAAATCGGGACGTCCTCATTATTAATCAGCAATGATTTAAATTTTCATATGAGTTTTGTTTGATAAGTGTGAACTTGAAGTTTTCAAGAGGGAGACGTGGCGATCGTATAATGATTGAATTTCATTTGAAATTGCGACCGAATATTGGGCTCATTGGATTTCCGAATGCCGGTAAATCGACTTTGATGAAGGCGCTCATACCTGAGAAGAAAACGGTTAGTCAAATTTAGTATGCACTCGTTTGTATGGTCATTTACATACCTAACCAGTTTTTTTGCCACGTTTTTCCATAGTTCTTTATATCAGCTTTCTATATTTTGTGAACTAAGAAGCGTTGTCTTGACCCAAAGTCGTGCAATTACTTCATCTGATGAGAAATCTAGTTCGTCGCATTTGAAAAAGAAATTCAATTTTTTGTTTCCTAATCGTTTTTAATATGATATTACAGATTAAAATCGCGAGTTATCCGTTCACCACTGTAAAACCTCAGCTTTGCTATATTCGTCGATTCAATAATGGTAACAATGACGGCACACAATCTTCATCGTTGAGTGATGCTCACTCAACGCAAGATTACACCGATGAATTCAGTCTTTCAATAGCTGATCTGCCAGGTTGATTATGGAGAGCTTCGTCATTCATGTGATCTCAGAAAATAGTTATTCAGAAGCCCAAAATATGTGACTGATTAACAAAGAATAGAAAACGATTACTTCAATGAAAGCTAAATGAATTTTGTGGAACTTCGGTGAAATGATTACTTACTCAGTTGTTTCGTGGACAGTTAGTAATATTATATATTCTGGAAGATGCATTTTGGCTAGTTCAGAAAGCGTTTTGTCATATCCTTCAGTTCTGTGGAACTGGTAAAAAAATTCACTCCCATTTCAGGTATAATCGAAGGTGCAAGTTCGAATCGTGGAAGAGGATTATCCTTTCTAAAGCATCTCGATCACAGTGATATGCTTCTTATGGTAGTCGACGTTACTGGCTTCAAACTTGACGCTTCACCAACTGAGCCATTCAGGTGTGTACCACCACCCTGTCAGCAGTATACGTCTGTTTCAGTCATAAATACCAGCTGTTTTTCGTACCATTTTTCATCTTATACTCAATTAATTGATGGAGTGGTACCAAACGGATGAAGCTCAATTTCAGAAGTGCATTAGAGACAGTGGCGTTGTTGAACATTGAATTGGAGCGATACAATCCTTACTTGACACAGAAACCAACCGTTTTGGCGATTAACAAAATCGATTTACCCGATGGAGAAGAGGTCGTTTTGCACTGTATTTGATCTTTTTACGAATCCTTTCATTCTCAACTTCTCAAATTCCTCTCGTCATAAACGCGATGATTAATCAGCTAACGTATAACCATGGAGATATTATTGCCTAACAAAAAAATTGTCACACAATCGAAATTTTCAGTTCTGAATGTAGAAATTCTATTCAACATTTTTCAATTCCAGGAATTACTACAATGTTCAACGATTCTGCGTTGAGTATTGTGGTGATTCCTGACATTGGAAAGATGTGAGCAAATTCTAATGTATTTTGATACAGAAAGCGAGGCGGCTCGTTGACGTATTACGATCAACGAATTGGCCTGAAGCCGTGGACAAGGAGTTGAGACCGCAGAGGCCGTTGCTATTTGATGCACTAATTCCGGTCGCCGCGAAAGAGAGACGAATTGCTGATCTGAATTCCAAACTGAGAAGTATTTATTTGACGTTACATCATTTAAGGGATCCGTTTAGTGAAACGTGCAATAATTTAAATTCAAAATTGGTCTAATTCACTGAATTTTGTCGCAGTATCATTTCTTCATTGTCGCTACGATCATATGTTAAATCAGCTCATTCAAATAAGTTAGTTTACTTGTTCACGAATAGTTTTCGTTTTCGGGTTGTACTGCCAACGGGATGAATATATTGATCGTAATGTTTCGTTGTTATCCATCTGGGTAGTGTTGATGTTGTTGTATATACTGATAAGTTATATGATAGTCGTGTACATAATTGTTATCAAATGTTGCTTATCTTATAAATATTGTTCATAAAGAAGTTGATTGGTACAAGCCTAAAGGCATGGTATTTCCAATCGTTCACGATGACTTTATTGGTTTTATTTACAGCGTTGTTTTGATACTTTATTTACAGCATTATTTTGATACTTTATTGACTGCTGCACATTTTAATCAAGTTTTGGTTTTAGGCTCAAATGCACTCTCGGTGTTCAGAAACTAAATAAGAAAATCATAGAATTAACGTTCGTGTCGTGTCAGTTTCAACTGAATTATTCAAATTTCGCCATCAAGACCAATAAATCCAATTGAATTATTTGGAAATCATCTTGACAGGTATCTCGTTTGAGTATAAATTGAAAATAATTTAGTCCATGGAACGTTTTTTTTTTGTGTTGTTGTTTTTGTTCAGTGGGGTAGCGCAGTCGATTCCATACCTGACCAAGGAATATATTTTATATTTTGAACAGTGAGAGGTGATGGAGATTGAATGCCCCATAATAGAAGCATGAAATTGGTCGACATCAGATTCCTTATATAATCCGTTGCATGCGTCAGGCACGAGCTCGGAGACCATCTTTGAAATCATATCAGTACTCCAGCCTCCATGTATTTCAGTCAAAAGCCTGAAAATGTGTTCCATTTTCATTCTTTTGCATGAAATTCCGAGGTGTTCGTTCAAAAATCCTGTAGTGGTTCACATTAAAATTTCCTCTGCGACTGACGCATTTGGCAGAACGATCGCATCCAACTGAATGACACATGTGTAAAGGAGCTGAATTAACGCAAACAACTGTTCAATATTCAATTAACGCTTTTTCGTTTAAAAGCCGTAAATGGTTCCTTTCATAAGAATGGTAGTGTTGAATTTTCCGTCGACCTTTTGCTTGAATCATTGATTTGCCGTCTCGCTGAATTGAATCGATTCAAGCTCACAAATTTGATGAAAATTTATTTTGTTGAATAAATTCTAAATCGAACAACCTCTTGCTATCGCATTCTGGATTCTGTTATGTTTTGTCTGCCAATTATTCGAGGAGTACATTCATTCGCAGTGAATAAGGGGTTTTTTGCTCAATATGTTGCGTATCACTAGGTTTCAGCGATAGAATTTCCTTTGCTTGTTAGTAGTCGTAACCGGAATGAAGTTATAACAGTTTTCGCGTGTAGCTAGCCGAATCGTGAGTCGCAAACAGCACTGTGTAATTTTTGACCGTAAAATAATGATCAATCAAAATTATTAGTGTCAAAATTATAGGGTGTATTGTCAAGTTGAGATGTTCACAATGAGGAACGGTCTCTCTCGAGAACGGAACGGAATGAACAGCAAATCAACACTCAGCGTGAACAACAATAATAAACCGTCAACTTCATCGTCTTATCCAGTTTCGTCTCCAAATGACAACACTTTAGTGTGTCCAAAAAAGAAGAAAATCAATGGAATGAACAGCAGTTCGTGTTCATCAGTAGACGATTACTCGTCATCATCTGGTCCAATGCAGGTAGAGCTATGGAATGATAGCTACGTTTGTGGGTTGCTGAGTTCGAGGATTATGTGAAATGTATTTTCTGTGAAGAAGTCATCCACATGGTAATCATGTAGTGAAAATGCCTGGGAATATATATAAAAAACCTTAAGCTAAGACTAATCCATGTCTCGGACTGAGATTCACCATGGATCTTATCCTGAGAGTTGTCTGGAGATACAGGTTTAGCCTCGATTTATGTTGAATCCTGAGTTGCAGGACCTAGGCTTATCTAGAGTTCACGCTGAGGATTAAGTTTTTTTGCATTATCTGTAAATACAAAACGTTAAACTTTTTTTTGCGTTATCTGCAGAACCATATACTTTTCCCATTTTGGTTTCTTTGTTCTCACATGGAAACTCTGACCATTCTTGTATTGTTCAGGTATTCAGAAATCTGTTGAAAAAGGCGGATACAGAGCAGAAGAATGTCATACTGCATGAATTATTGGTAAGTTGTGTTCGTTTCTTTTTGATGTGACATTTTCGTCCATTCGATTCATTCTTTTCGTTTTCTATCAACAGTAGTTTTCAATCACAGTTCCCAAGTACCATTCGAATTCTCATTCAGTGCGCTCATTCAAAACCGTATCGGTCGTGTTATAAGGATTGACTAAAATATTCACTATTTCATTGAATATTTCAATGTGGTTGAAACGTTTGTTCATCGATTTGCCTTAAGTTGTCATGTGATGAGACGAATCTTGATTATGCGATATCGTTACTAGCCGATTTTCAACGAAGACGTAACGCATTCCACAGGTCTGATCCGTTCTCATCGCTTCCGACGCCAGTTGCCCTGAAAATCCTTCAGCTTCTTGATCCAAGTTCGTCATATTCATATTTTGTTCAAATCTTTTCGAATTCACATAATCCGTCGTATTTTGAAAATTGCACAATGATATATTGGAAAAAGTATTTATTGTCTGAGTGAATAGATTTCAATTTATGGCAAAGGAATTCTCGTGAAGAGGTTTGATTTCATTTCGTTTATGGTATTATCTTAGTGGTATCGTTCGGATACACAAAACAGTTGTTGTAAATCAGCCCACGGTTCTAACAATTTGCCTTTTGTTTTTAGCTTAGAAATCTTTATGAATGTTCAGTTGTCGTTAGAAATTACATTTTTCTAACAGAATTGCTAATCATCCCTTAAAATGATTCATAATTAATGGATTAATGGAATTGATTTGAATTGAAGAATCGCTGTGCAAATGTATGTGTGTGTCTCGTGCATGGCGGATTTTATGCAATGAGCCATGTCTGTGGAAAAGTCTGTGCACATTGCCACGCTCCTATCGGATGTCATCGAGAGAGGCCGAACGAAGACAACTGAATCGATTCACGGTGGTCGACGGTTCGGTGCTGTGGAGGGCAGCGTTCGCCGAACGATATCGACTGTGGAGCAATTGGCATGCTGGCCGTTGTGTGATACGTACTTTCGAAGGACATACACAAGGTTTGTGTTTTGCTCGCAGAATTTTCCACGGCGCAAAAAAAGTTGTTTTGCAAATTTCGCAGCATCTGCACGGTGCTTTGACACATTTCATTAGTCATTAGCGTTGAATTTGATTGCTGAATTTTGGGTATTCTTTTCTATTGCTATTGGTCGACTGAAATTGCCTCAGCACTCCGTATTCCTCAGGGAATTTTTTCTGTTCTCGTACTGAAAAA